CGTGTTGGGCCCCCGCTGCCGCGGGGTACCTCGAAGATGATGTTGGCGGAGCAAGCCCAGAAGTGGTTCCCCACTCACGTGCAAGTCACCGTCCTTCAGGCCAAAGGGCTGAAGCCCAAAGGCAAAAGCGGCACCAACGACGCTTACACCATCATTCAGCTGGGCAAGGAGAAGTACTCCACCTCGGTAGCTGAGAAGACCCTGGATCCGGTGTGGAAAGAAGAGGCCTCGTTTGAGCTCCCTGGACTGCTGACCCAGGAGAATCCAGAAAAATATGTCCTGTACCTGGTTGTCATGCACAGGTCATTGGTGGGGCTGGATAAATTTTTGGGACAGGTGGCGGTAAATCTGAATGATATATTTGAGGACAAGCAAAGAAGGAAAACAGAGTAAGTGATAGCTTTTTTCATTATCATTTTTATTCCTTGTACCCTCTTCTTTTTTTTTTTTTTGTAATGGAAACCTTATTATCAAAGTACTTTGAAATGAAAATAGCATATTTCTTTGTTCTATGGTATATTCTAAGTCCCTGGCACAAAGAGTTATGTCTCTGTGGCCTGTCCCCTTTCAAGAGAAGTTTCCTGTAATCACAGCAGTCAGCCTGCACAGAGAAGGATCACCGATACTATTAACATTTTTTGACAAATTAGTATTTGCAACGTGCTCTTGTTTCTGTCTGTTTCTCTAAAGATTTTTTTCATTCTGCCTGACGCTATATCCACATTCAACCTGAACCTCAATTTGAACCGTATATGAGACTCAGACTCCCTTGAAGCCTGGCATCATTCAAAATTGTTTTTCTTCGACTGATGCAACCAAATGTCTTTAAGTATTTTATATTTACATGTTAGTGGTCAATAACTCTGAATAAATGCAGGCTTACCACAGTAGTATAGTACTTTTCTGATCCTAATTAGTCTTAGGCCACGATCCTGCAAGCTGCTCTGTACAGCAGGCCTCTAGAGAGAAGACTGAAGAAAAGCTTGTGCCATTGTAATAGCCTCCATCGTCACCCGCGTAATCTTTTGTCAAATAAAATTGTGATTTGCCAGCAAATTCTGACATGAGAATGCAAAAAGAAAATTAAAAAGTATAATCAGCACAGCAGTTTATTTGGCTGTGCAGTAAATGTATCTCACCTTTTTTTTTGTGAATCTGTTTTTCAGCTAAACTAGATAAATTGTGTCTAGTGTGGACATGGTTCACAACTTATTTTCTGAAGTATATGGGAATAAATTGTATAGGTGTAGTATACTGCAGCACACCTGTGTCTCTGCAGCATTCATGTTTGTTTTAGTTACATTTGTCCCCATATTTGTTTTTGTTATACTTGTCCCAAAGAAGTAGTACAAGAACAGCATGGAGAGCTCTAAGCTATTTCTCTGTAGCCAATGGCATATAAATGCTGACAAATATCTTTCTGTGGTAGTTAAAAGTTAATGCCCCAGGTGTCTTTTCTTCCTCTTTCTCTAGAGGTTAATATCTCTTCAGTAGCCTTGGCAGAAAGGAACCTGTGCCAGCATCTCAGGTGCTAAAATTAGTCTGGTATATCTGCTGAAGCTGTTAGTGATGGTGGGTTTGTGGTAAGATGCTGGACTTTGCATTGAAGTGACTAAGATGCTGGCGTAATTTATCTTTTGCTGACTCTGCTGTGGAGGCGTTAACCTCCAGCAGAGTGTCAGAGCAGACGGCTGGATGCAGTAATCCTTATTCTGGCAACACTAGCCAGATCTTGTTGATCAGAGCCTGAACCGCACTTGCTATTTCTGCAGGAACCAGCTCAAAAACCCGGTTCTGCCTATGTGCAGCGGTTATTAGGATTGAAGGCCAAAGACAGGTTAAAGCTGCTTTGCCCTTGTTCCACTCCCACCATCCAATTTTTAACCAAATTGTATATTCACTAACCATATAATAGGGAACCATGTGCCCGAAAAGGACCTTTTGTGGGTTCATGGTGTGAAGAAAAATACTTTTAAATTGCTCATCTTTTTAAGGACAAACCAGTCACAGTAGTTATCTTTATGCAATACATGGTAGTGGCTGTAGCCTTAGGCTCTTAATTTCTATTCATATTTGATTCGAGAGGGGTCATTGCTCTTTGGACATGCATCTTAAATATTTTTAACCATCAGTTGTAATTGTTTTGCAATTCAGTAGGCAACTGCTTTAGTTTAAACACCTATCTAGTCTGCAGGGGAAAGAAGTGAGTGAATGGCATAAAATGGTACTAAATCCAAAAACCTGGTAAAAAGATAAATCTGGATATCCATCAACTGGAGAAAAAAATGTAAATTAGTCGAGCATTATTGTGAAAAACAAAACCACTTTTCCATTTAGGGAGCCATACACTTTTGCATCAGTTTACCCAAAGTGGTGTTGGACTGTTACAAAATTATTATAAAAATTTGTAACTGGCATTATTCAACTACCACAAGAACCATGTTAATTTACATTCAAATGTTTTCACAATTTCTTTATGTAAAGTTGTAGTTAGCATGGCTTCAAGTGCTCCTTATTTTCTCAGTTCTTTCTCTGAAGTGAGAGAGTCATGCGTTCTATATAAACGTGCAGTTGCATTTCCCTAGACCACCTTTGAAATTCATCCATGAGAATGCCACACGCCGGCAAGCTGCACTTCAGAAGGTTGGGGCCTACGGGGAAAATTTTACAAACAGCCTAAGTCCTGATGTCAGAAGTTACTTGAGCATTTAAGACTGCAAATCTTATTAAAAGTTGATGGGTCTTAGGCTTCTAGGGCCTAACAGCCGTACTTGTAAAAGTGCAGATAGGCAGTTAGTGGGATTTTTGGCAGCACGTGTTCACTCAATGCCCATTTAAATTCCTATGAGATAGGAACTATTGAAAATCCATTTTCATATCAGTGTCTTTAGATGCCTAGAAACTTAGAAAAACGCGTCCCCGAGTCGCTTTTGAAAAAATAATTTGGGATCTTTAAGCGTTTAGATGATTTTGAAAAGTTATTGTGGTTGTCTGTTTTTATGTCTTCATGCAATGCATGTATGTTGTTGTTGTTTTCTTCAAACATTCGTTGAAGATCTGTGGATGCAATATTTAAATGTGTATGTGAGAGGAGGGCAAACCTTTAGGAATATGGACGTGAATGCGATCTCAAACAAATGCTTTTGCTTGCTTTTTTTCCTTTAACTAAATGCTTGTTGATATTAATTTTCTGAGTCCTATTTTGGCAGTAGACTAAGTGTAATATTTTTTGGACCTGAAGACCACCTGAAGCCATGGCTATGGTGTAGGAACTGAGATACCCAGGGCCTTTCAAGACCAAGTGCAGTGTCTTTATTACCAAAGCCTTCTGATACTTGAAAGCTGTATTCATTGTTTCAGAAACACTAATCTGTTTTATTAAGCAGTGTTTTTACTTTCAAATATGTTCAACAGGCTTGTGGTGTTATTAAATCCAGACTTATTTTCTTATGTTGATGTAACCTTAACATTTCTTGCTTTGTTTGGGGATAAATGAGATCCAGTTATTTGATGAAGTGTCTATTGGTAATATTTCTACTTTTTAATATATTTAATAGCTTCCTCTTTCCAACACAGCTGTACATATGGTGCTGCAAGAGACAGACTCAGGAGTCACTGGGGTATTGCAAAAAAGATATTTAATATTCTACCACAATGCTGAACCCTGTCAGCAATTCCCTAGTGCTTTTTAAGTAAAGAGGTATGAGAAGTGAAGGCTACCAGCTGATTTCGAATTCTTAGGAAGACTGTGGGGTGTGAGCTTTTTATTTTTTCTTTTTTAATTTGGAAGAAAGATATTTTACAGATTCACCGCAGCTTCAAAAACATGTTGGTGAAAAATGATCCTTTTTTCTGTATAGTGTTTTTGGTTGTCGTTTGTGACACCTTAAAAAAAACCCCATTAGTTTAAAAGAATACTCCCTGAAATAAAGTTTTCAAGCAGAGGCCTGATGATAGGATTTGTGCATTTTGTGTTCTAATAAGCTTGCTCTGGCACGAGGTTTAATGAAACAAAGCAGTATATATAATGTAATTTCATAGTGAAAATTCTGTATAGGCCATCATCCAATGTCCTTTCTCTTTCTTTCTGAAACTGATGATTTTTCACATTCTTAAAAGTGAAGATTCCTGGAACGGTTAGATCCAGATGTGATTCAGATGGTCACTTTCTAGGTCTCTTCCAGAGATCTCAGCCAAAGCATCTGCAGCATGCTTGTTCAAGGTCTTTAAGTCTTGGTGCAAAAGTGCCCATCACACTGTGGTAGCTTTGTAAATTCGTGTCTCTGTTGACTCCGCTATAGTTAGAAATGGAGAAAGGCTCTTTCACTTGTTCTGCTCAAGCTCTTGTCTCCAGAGATGAAAACTAGAATATTGATCCATTTGCTAGGCAAGCTCCAGATGCTGAGAGGTTTTGCAGAGGTTTTTTTTTTTTTTTATATGTTTGAAAAGCTAAGAAAACACTACTTTATTGGAGGTATACTGAACGTAAACCTTCAAGTCTTTTTAGATTTCTGCCATGGTTTTATTTTTGCCCTAGAATCCTGGGGTTTTTTTATGCATTCTGATAAATGCTTGACAATTGTTGGTGGGTTTTTTTTTTGGTCTGCTATCGTAAAATAAGTACACCTCTTTTGCTTTTGCAGTTTCAGTTTAAATGATGATCAATCAATGTGTTGTTTTTTAAAGCGTATATGTGTTTTGTAGTGATTTCTACTCAGTTAAAACTTATATTTGCCCTGATACTGCTGATGGTCTGACAAAGCATAGCATAAAATATAAAACAAATTTTCAAATTATCATGGAATCAGAAATGTCCATTTACTGATGTTCTAATTTACTAAAGTATTTTAGTAGTTTTTCTCAATGTCTGTCTTTGTTTTTTTTTTTCTTTTGTGTGCTAAATGAACACAGCAATAGAAGAATGGATTTCCATTAGCTTTTACCATGGTGTTACTTATTTCATCGGCATACACTTGGTTCTTGTTGTCCTCTAATTCCACGCTATTTATTGTCCATTCCTTTGTTACATTTCCTGGAGAACGGATTTAAGATGCAACATTTGTCTGGAATGTTAAAACTGGAGGATTCATTTTTTTGATTCTGTTGTTATTTCTTATTAAAGTTTTGTTGGAGGAGGTTTTTTTTTTTTTGGTTTGTAATTTAATTCCCCTTCTCCTAGTTTCTCTATTATCTCACTCCCCTCCAAACTGCAAGCACCATTAACAAAAATTTTAGTCTGAGCATAATGCAGTAAAATAATCTTGGCCTTGTCTAAGGTACTTTTCTTCTTCTTCCAGCAATCATTTAACATAGAAATAAGTCGTCATACCAAAAAAAAAAAAAAAAAGATTGAAAAGATTGAACTCAGTCAGTACGCCTTTATGGTAAG